ATAAATAGTTAATCCATCGCCCTAGACAACCAGCCACTGTACCACATAGAATATCAAACAGGCTACAAAATCCTGATCACGATAACAATACCGACCCGATACATAAACAACGACAAAGGAATGATGTTCTTTGGTACTAATAAATATATATACTCATCAATCATTTTTCATGAAAACTTATTTTCGAGACTTAAGCTTCAAATCATAATATTTGGAAGAATTTATATATATAGTTCCTTGTTTAGATTCATTTCATGAAATTTCAAGAATTCACAATGAAATCTTTTTGCCTATGATACAAAAATCGCTTAAAAAAATCAGTTATATGGCCAGTAATTTACATGGAACGGACAGAAAGTTTCAGATACTCAAAAGCACCTTTACATACTGTATTAACCCATTCACCCCTATAATTTCATAATGAATTCTTCCAAGCTTTGAAGTGGAAGAGTCAAAATGTGTCTTCAGGGATGAATGAGTTAAAACATGTCAATATTGTAATAAGTTTCTCTGAAATTAAACAATATTGATTTGTTGTTGAAAAATTATGCCGATAAAATTTGTATGTATTTTACCACTGTGTGGAATATAGCAAGGTTATATACAGTCCATTGTGTTAAAAGGGAGGTATAAATATGAGCATTGATTTTCAGCTACCTGTATAACTGGGTATTATTGAATTATTGTCCCATGCCTTATACTTATCTAATCAATACAGCCTGTATCTTATACAACAAAATTGAAGACTACCGATATATGACTGTCTGTGTTCCGTTGTTCTGCTAGGGAACCAGAAGTGTGATAGGAATACTTGTTGTCTGTGTATATTGGAGTTTCTTTGTCTCCTCAAAACTTTGTCCTGTTTCTGAATCTCTGACAGTCTGAAGCCATTCTGTGGCATATTTCTGACTTTTTATATGTTTGTGAACCCCTGTCATATATATGACCTTCCTGGTCATATATGTAAGGTATGACATTCCTGGTCCTATATGTAAGAATGTCAAATCAAGTCATTTTCAATAAATGATCCGAAGCCTCCTGGTTAAAAGTCATCCAATAATAAAAAGATTGCCTTAGCTGTCCCTGTACTGGAATTAAATTGACTTTGTGATAGTATTTCGAAGATTCTGATGAACATTACTTTCAGTTGAAAAGTATCTAGTAATCAGAGTCAGTGTGGTAAATTTTGAACTGTATGAAACGCCACAACTTGACAAGGTGGCATCATAGTGGTTGTTTCGTAAAAAATTGATGTTACATTGTACCAATATTTTGAAAGTTTAAAGAAAAAAATCAATTTGGGTTAATTACCTTTACTGATTGTTGAAAGTTATTTTGAAGTTTCCAAATTCAGCTACAAATATCTCTGAATATCAACATAGGTGACTGGAGAATCAGGATAATCAGGTTGTCAAATCATTGTTGGTGTACAAATCATTTGACAAACCTCTGACCATTAGCATTGCAGTGGTGAGCTGAACCCTCTGAAATGCTATAAGATGACATCGTAATGTAAAATCATAAAAAAAATGATTGTACCAATATTCTAGGAGTTCTAGATATTATAATTATCCGTTCAGTCCAATTAGCTTTACTGATTCTTGAAAGTTATTTTGAAGTTTTCAAAGCTACGATCATCCGTCAATATCAATATTTGAGATTCAGGGTAATCCTCAGGTGTCAAATGTGACCATGACATAGATTTATGATATCTATAGCGGTAGATAGGAAATTTAAAAGTGTGTTTTAAGTTTTCGAAACTCAGGATATTACAGTTTTAATACATTGTCAATTTGTTGTACATTCACCACACTCCTGTCTGACTTAACAATGACTGTTCAGGGAACAAGTGCCCTTTGTGGAAAATGAAATGTTTCTTCAACAGATTAGTTCGAGATCAAATAATTGTAGATATATATCTATTGCTACAACAAGCGGAATGACATTAGATTTCTCTGCAGACCTGAGTCTGTTGTATACAGTACATCACATTGTCCTTCCTTAAAAATATTGTTTTTTCTTTTCCAAGTCACTGTAATGCAGTTAAAATCCCCTATTGGCAGGGATTGACAGACAGTTAGCCTGGGGTACGTGTGAACGAGCCGTACTTATTTAAGATATATAATTAGGTTTTAGTATTTGTATAGCCGGGCTAGGAGAATCTGCTACCAAGGGTTTTTCAAAGCACTAGTGGTATACGTCTGTGATGTAATAGAAAGTGTTTTTTTTTCAAATCTGTGTAAGACATTTACAGTGAGCAAATATTGACATAGCTGTCTGTTTTATATCTAAAAGTATTTCAGACAAGGCAGACGTACATCAGCTCTGTTGGCACAAAAAGGGCTGTTCTCGGCCTGGATCCCATTTTTTTATTATCAAATTGTACTTTGCACATTGTAGATAAAAATGTGGTAAGCATTGCTTTCAGTGAATTAAATAGGAATGTGGGAGGTTTTCACGATTAATAAAGATGAGCTAAGATTTCAATTGTTAGGAAAGAGATGCCATAGATTTTTACACGAGGGTAAAGATATTCTGAGGTATTTACAATTAAAAATATACAAAAAGGTTTCTACATGACACAAAGATTTCCAAAGGTTTCAACAGGTGTGTGTTTGAATCGTCAAGAAAGTGTTCAAAATGTGTTTTATTTCTCAGAAAAGATTTCAAAAGTTTGCTTTCTGGTCCGTTTCAACCCTCAAAAACAATTTCCAAGGGTCTCACCTGTGTCCATTTTAATCCTCAGTAAAGATTTCCAAAGGTTTCAACAGGTGTTTGTTTGCTTTTAAAAGAAAAATGTTAAAAAAAGTGTTTCTGTTCTCAGTAAATATTTCTTAAGTTTTCTATCTGGTCCATTTTAACCCTCGGTGAAGATTTCCAAAGGTCTTATCTGGGTAATTTTTAACCCTCGGTGAAGATTTAACCATGAGAAAAAAATGTCTGAAGCTTTTATCCACGTTTATTACAACCCTCGGTAATGAGGTCTTAAGGCTTCATCCTTCAATAAATTAAAAACCTCCGATTTGTTAATGTTTCAACCTTGTGTGAAAAATGTAATCTTTTGTAAGTACAATTCTGCTTATACTTTATGAACTGTCTTAGATTTAAAATATTCAGGATTTTATATGTACATGATTTGAAAAATGATTATGCAATTGAAATCATTTTAAAAGGGTTCAGAATCATAAAAACTTTATTTGATTTAAACCATATATCATGTTGTAGGTATATTAAAAACCATTACCTTTTAAATTGTCCCAAGTGCCGAACATAAAATTAAATTAGAAAATGACTTGAAATACAGACCTATATTTGAATATTGCGTGTTTGTATTGTGTTATTTATGAAGTAAACGGGATCAGCTTAAACTTGATTTAAGGATTTCAATAGAAAATCCTTTTAAATAAGTTTGATTGTAGCATGCCATTGAAGGTTCTATATATAGAATTACTTGCGTTTACAGCTGTACATCAAGTGAAGGTCTGGTATGATAAGGAATACTAGATCAATAAACACTGAAATAAGGATGTATGTGGCATTACCAAAAAATGTATTTCTTTTAGAGAAGAATTCCTGATATAAAACCTATTTTAAAATGTGTTACAAATACTTGACAACATTTCTAATACACATCATTATTATAATGTTTATTGTATTTTAAATTATAAGGAAGTGCTTTAGTAAACAAAAACAACTCTTAAAATAAGTTATGTATTGAACATAAAAGGTAGCATACAGCCTTAAGTAAGATGACACTTAACACACATCATTGGTGTTATGTATAAGGAAGCTTCAATGATTTCTTCAGAGAGATAACTGTTAATGCACAATGTGGAAGGTAGCATATACACTTAAGGGATTTAACTCAATCTACGTCCAATTAAATTTCTAAATAATCTTGTGTTATAACAATAATGAATCTGCCATTTGAGCAAAATGACTATTCCTTAGGAATACTGGACAATGGCTTTATATTGCGAACTTGCAAATGATTCAAGAAAAATGAAAAACGAAATGATATATTAATCAAATGAAATCACTCAATTGTACGACCCTAAAGGGAGATAACTCTACGCAAATAATGGTTATAATATGTAGGTTAGCTATTCCTCACATTTGTTATTTATTTTAAGGACAAAATGCAAATTTATATAGTGCTGTGAGGCAACTTAACATATTTCATGACCATTAACCCTTTCTTTAGTAGACTCTACCACGCATTGATCTAGATGGGTCCATTATGGTCTACAGTGGTGAAAGGGTTACTATTGCTTGGGATTTTGTTAGAATTAGAAATGAACTAGCATAAGATAAGTTTTATAAATAAGAATTGAAAATCAATTATTTTTAGAGATGAAATCACACCTTTGGTATAAAGTTTTCCATCCGGGGCAGAAAGTAAACATGGGAGTTGATTGGATTGAGAAGACTTTGGGTAGAAGCCAGTTGGCTTTGGACCAGTCCGTCAAAAGGTTCAATTAAAAGCTCTATATTTCACTCATTCACTGACCTTTTTAAAGTTAATGGATTTCAAATTGGTTTCAAAGACTTAATGATCAGAAATTAAAATTGGATGATATATATAGACCACTATAATATGGCTCCTAATGTAATATAAATAGTCATCAAATAAATATAATCTTTGATAAGTTTTAGACATTAGAGAAATTGATTAGGTTTCAGTGAACAGTTTAATTTTAAATAGAGATATGATGGTTACTTACTGACATATTGAATTGTGGTTTCCATAGAAACATGTTATAGATTTGTATCAAGTAATAAAGTATATAACTAGAATTATAAACAGAATTTTATAAACATTCAGTCAAATGATATCTTTATGTTTTCAGAGTGAAATGTCACATCATTGTCACTCAGGAATATAAACATATCGTCGTATGAGTGGTTTTCTCTTTGTTCAATGTTACGACTTTTAGATTCTGATTGTTCCAAATATTAACCTTGACATTTGTTGTTGACCTTGATATTTTTTCTTTCAGCTGAAGTTGAAAGAGGAACGGGAGGCGAAGCGTTCCCACATCGATGAGCGACACACATATATCCTCCAGACCGTGGCTGATGGCCTGGGACTGGAATACAATGAGGTGGAGGACTGTGTCCTCGAGGGCAATCAGGTACATACCCTTCACTCTAGATATTAATCAATGATACTTTATTGAAGTTACCTCCCCTTCTGACAGTAGTTAATGAGGCTACCTCCCCTTCTGATAGTATGTTAATGAGGCTACCTCCCCTTCTGATAGTATGTTAATGAGGCTCCCCCCCCCCTTCTGATAGTATGTTAATGAGGCTACCTCCCCATCTGATATTATGTTAATGAGGCTACATCCCCTTCTGATAGTAGTTAATGAGGCTACCTCCCCTTCTGATAGTATGTTAATGAGGCTACTTCCCCTTCTGATAGTATGTTAATGAGGCTACCTCCCCATCTGATATTATGTTAATGAGGCTACATCCCCTTCTGATAGTAGTTAATGAGGCTACCTCCCCTTCTGATAGTATGTTAATGAGGCTACTTCCCCTTCTGATAGTATGTTAATGAGGCTACCTCCCCTTCTGATAGTATGTTAATGAGGCTAC